GGGAGCACGCATCGTTTGTAATTTCTTTAATTTCTTCTTTATATTTGTTGTATATTTCTGGTATGTACAATTAGAGGGACATTTTAGAGTGAATTTATACTATATTAAAAGCCCGTTAAGCGATATATCGTTCGCCTTTTTCACTTTTTAAAAGTAGAGTTTACTCTGGACAAAATAGCCATTTGTTATTTTCCTAATAGTTAAGACTTTAAAATAAATCAAAATTTGGTATTTTCTTATTTAAACTAAAGTCTTATATTTAGGACTTTAAAATCGATTAGGAATTTAAAATCTATAAATCCTTTCCTTAATTAAGTAACATAACTTTAAGAAAAAAAGTATGGAAATCCTCCGCTTCTTGATTATGGAGCAAATTTAACTTTTCTGTGTTTTCTTTAATTTATAAACCAGGAAGGTAATATTCGAACAGTTTGTAGTCTGTCGATTTCGTCGGCTGCAGTGACCTCTTCTCTGCTTTCCCATCGGCGAGGGTAAGGATCAGCACACCCACGAATATTTTGCTTCATTTTGAACATTGAGTTTGTAATATCTAATCAGCCCATTTTCTGATCTAATCTCCTTTTAGAACTGTCTTTTCTTTTAACGTATTTTTCTTTCTTCATTGATTGAGCTGCTATGAACGCCATTTCCACTGTAAGAACTAATACCTTCCACCGCAAATCTCTCTCTTTATATTTAAATCATTTTTTCCCCTTTTGTGTTCTCGTTATGTATTTTTTAGCTTCTAAAAATCTCCGATCTGCTTCATCCAAGCTCAGATCTATCTCTGTGGTAAGTTTCTCGCTCCAATTTGCTAAATCTTTTTCAACAGAGTTTTTCACTAAATTTCTTTTTCAGAATTAATTAATATTTTGAAAATATAAGCTTCGAACAACAGTTGACTTCTGTCGTCTTCTTCTGTTGCAACTAATAAAAAAACGATTTTTTCTATTTAACTAGTATAATTTCGATTTGTTTTAATTTATAGAAGAATACTCATTATTTCTTAATTTATAGTAGTTATCAAGTGTTCTGGCAATATATTTCATTAGATATTTGTGTAGTTTTCTGCTTTTTCCCTACATTTCCTCTACTACTATCAGGGCTACACCAGTGGTAGCAGTGACAACCTTTTTTGATTTTCGGGTCGTGGTATTTTCTGTGTTTTCAGGGAAATTCTCGAAGTTGTGGAGATAAGTTAGGCGCACGAGCACTAGCAAAGGAGAGCAACCAGGACGAGCGTCCACAACGGGCGGTGGGAAGCGATGCGTGAGTGTACAACTACATCAAGTACAACAAATCAATACATGTTTGGTTCTCGGGAGTTGGTTTCTCCCGTTCTACTGTTTCCCTTTTGGTGTTAGCTAAATTGATGTTACTTTGGTTCACAATAGTTCAATCATTCAACTAATGTACTTGTAGTCACTTGTTTCCTTCTAGTTTGATTCGTTGTTCGTTGTGCACTAGTAAGTCTTCTTGAGATCTGTCGTAGGTGTAGTGGCTGCAATCTGGGATGATAGATTAAGGGCATGTCCTCGGGTGGGGCAGAGTGTGGGGCTGGGGTCAGGGTGTGAGACGGGAGGTAGGGGAGGTAGAGGGGGCAAGGGAGCCTATAGGTTGAGAATCGGGTCATGGAACATAGGTTCGCTAACGAGTAAGTCTATAGAGTTGGCGAAGATACTTCAGAAGAGGAAGATTAATATAGCGTGTGTCCAGGAGACTAGGTGGGTTGGATCGAGGGCGAAAAACGT